CGCCTCACCCACGCGCGTCACACTCGCACACGGCGCGCTACGCACCGCCGCAAACTTTTTCCCCACACCGCCGCCACGGTAGCACCGGCTAATTTTACCGCGCGAATCGCGCGTGCAAGTGGAACACCGTAATCCTGCAATTTATGCGGCGATTTATGCGCCGAAATGGACCTCCCATCGATCGACTTCTTCCATCGCGCTCTCTCGCGCGATTTCTTCCGACGTTCTCTCTCTTACGATTTTCGCTGCGATTTAAAAAAAAGAAAATCTTAATCTTTTAAATTTGCCCACGAAAGGAAAAGAAGTTGAGAATATAAATTCAGAATTTATGTTCAATAATTTTGAAAATATATAAGACAAAAGAAATGTGCGTTTTTTTCTTCTTTTCGTAGGATTTATTAAGTCTATGTATAAAATGAATATATGTATGTAAAAAAGTTATTATAATATTATATACAGGGTGTCCCAAAACTCATAATCAATCTTTCAAAGACAGATTCCTGGGATCATTTGGAGACGATTTTTCCTCAGTGAAAATGTCGATGAAGGCCATCATTTTTTGCATGTTCCCGATTTTTGTCATCATATATCTTTGTAATTAAGTCTTAAATTAAAATTCAATTAAAGTAAACTCTATTTAAAATTAATCGAAGAATGTGGTTTTGTTAATATTTTATTTCTACAAAGCTTAGTTTACGAAAAACCCTTTATTTCCAATCACTTATAATTCGAAAATTATTAATGCCTCGACATTTTCGTTGAGGAAAAATCGTCTTCAGATGATCCCAGGAATCTGTCTTTGAAAGATTGATTATGAGTTTCGGGACACCCTGTATATATTAGAAATGATATTGACGTCAACATTCCGATTGTAAACAAGAATTTAGGCCAAGACAACCAACAAAGAATCATATATCTTACAAGATGCATCGTGCCAAGTTTTACGATTAAGAAAAATGTCATATGACAATCGCAACTGCTCCGGTATACTTCCTCTATTAATTTTAGATTACCGTAGATTAACGGCTGATAGTCACACAATTTGTTCCGATAAATTGTTTTTATTTTTACACTATCAACAGATATAATCGCTCGATAGATATAAACAATTTCAAAATTCCACGAGATACATTTGATATTGTTGCATCGCTACGTCTCTGTCTGTCTTCGTTGAAAAATAAACATGGATGATTTCATCTTTTTGTGTGCTCACAATTGGTTAAGTCTCAACTTTACGCAATAAAGGCAAACGATCGTTATAATTCTATTGTCACGATTTACTACTTCTAAGGCAGTTTGCACGGATTTGCGGAACATTATGCGAAGAGGAGCAACTCGAATGGAACACTCGCAAAGTTTTCGCATTGCAAACCGCGCATGCATATCGTACATAAATGGATTGACCCAAAGAAAACCTCTGAAATGACATAAATAACGGCTTGCGGGCCGTATCGACTTATATAATAATGCATCGTCGCCGTTGCCGCTATGAACCACCGCAGAAAAATCACGCAGGAAAATTAAGTACACGCACAGTGAGAAGGAAATAATCGCATTCGTAATACACATTACTTGGAAAACGCGAAAACGAGAAAAAGTTGGAAACATTTGAAATCTGTCCATGCAACGATCCAATCGGTGAATTTTTTTTTTGCGAATTAAAAAATTCATTATTAAAAAGGAATGCGAACAAACACTACATATTTTCTCGAATACATAACACGCTTTTTTTCTTTCTAAAAATGATTTTCAATATTTTTATTTTAAATGTTTCAATATATATTTACGTCACATTTTTTTAAATTTTAATTTCACGAATCTTTAAGGGACGTCAGCTTAGGAAATCCTTTCAGAAAAATATTCAGCACTCGTGATACAAATGCCGACGCCGATGATGATGTGGTTGCCACTGGCAGGGCGCCGAATGCCTGCATTTGAGAAAGAGACACCATCATCAAATACCTTTGCTTTTATCAATCTTGATAAATGGCAATTATAGAGACAGACTATCGGAGGAATCTCTTTGCGACAAGCCGCCGAACGATTAACAATCGCGCAAAAATCATGTTCCGATTCATATCTCTCAATTATTTTCAAGATTACAAGAGTGATTTCTTGGATGTGTACTACAACAAAGGAAGCGAAAGAAAATTGCTAAAGAGTAAATAGATGAAAATTAGCGAGGGATGAAATTTTATAAAACGACTGATGACGTCAAGATTTAAAAAGGAGATTATATTTCACTACTGAATTAGAAATTAAAGTTACTAATAGGGGAATTAATAGAAAATAATGTGCTAATAGAAATTGCAATAACGGGAATAAATAGGGATGCTAAGGATGCGCGCGTAACAATCTAAATAAGTGCAAACAGTTGACAATGTACTCAATATTGTGCGCCGGTGTATACGGCTTCGCCGCTCACTCCGCGAGCATTCATAGATATGTACATCCACTTTGGGTTCTTAACTTTCGCTATTAAGCGATTTCGCTGAAACCGGTACTTGTGAGTAAAGTTTGCAAAGCGCGGCGAGAGAGGAGAGAACCCGCGCCAAACTGCAGTGTTTATTGCGCGGAAAAAGAGCGGCAAGCCGCGCAGCGGCGTTCTTCCTCGGATTACTCGGTCAATTTCTCCATTCGCGAATAATAAACTGCACACACGCGCGCGGATAACGCATATGTGCTGTTCGTTTTTCTTTTTTATATACATATTTAATACGGCAATATATCTAACGATCGATGCGACTCTATACTCGGCTCGAAAACAACTATATCGGATGCGTGACGCACGATTGTTACAGGAAAGTGTGAACTGATGTATTAGATTCGACAAAAAATTATTTAGCATTATTCGTTTATTTTTATTTATTTCTTTTTAATAATAAATTTTTTTTTAATATTTCGTTACAAACAACAAACACATAATAGAATTATTATTTGTATTTTTCTTTCATGCACGTAACATATCTATTTTATCATATTATTATTACATATTTTAACTTTACTATAAAATTACATATAAAATTACATATAATAATAATAATAATAATTATTATTATTATCATTATTATTATTACATATATGTTACACGTATTTGTATATTTTATTCTTTTGTATTTATTTATAATTATCGTTACAAATTTATATATTAAACAACAATTATTAATTTACAAATTGTAAGCGTGGAGGATGCTATTTGAAATTCATCACATACAAGTAAATTTGTTTTAAATTCGAAATCGTATACGCGAAATACGAGTGGAAAGCGTTAAATTCATAAACCTATTAATCGATACCCCATGACAAGACTATTGTTACATCTTTAATGAAAATAAACTTGACGCGAGTTGGCAAATATAGTTTTTACCGCTTAACGGACCTAGCGCTTCCGGCGAAAAAAAAAAAGTTTCAAAGATTCCGGTAACAACCGACGTTATAGCCGCAAAACGATGAAATCAATGCGTAACATGCTGTGCCGACGCTATATTTAACCGGCGAGAGTGCAGGTAATTCCTATAACCTTTCTGGCACAATTGACAGGTGCAATTTATCTGTAGCTCGAATGCGCGCTATGCGCGAGCCTCTGTTTTAAAACGCTTGAAACGCTGATCATTCGCACTTCGACGTTGTTTCTCTTGAATTGGCGATACAGCAACATCGCATAGACTGCTGCGTAATTGGCGATACGAAGCGGCATCAAAGAATATCCGCTTAATCTCCCAATTGTCGATTTTTCATTATTGAAAGTATTCAATCTTCCCATCGTTATATCGACAAATAACGATTCTTTGATTCTGATCCGGAGCAAAAATCCTGAAAAGAGAGAATCTTTTTTTGGAATTTTCTTTTAATTTTTTTTAAATAGATTTTTCTTTTAATTTTTTTTTAAATAGAATTTTCTTTTAATGTTTTTTTTTTCAAATGGCCGATAAAGTTTTGTCATTTCGTAATTTCCCTTTTTGTGCTCACGATCGTTTAAAAGTATCGACGTGTCGATAAGGGTTTCAACGAAGGGAAAAAGTCGCCAAGACTTTTTGGTGAAACGAACAGAGACGGAGTTTCGGACACCGTATATACGACGGAGGTTTCCGTCATGCATCGCCGTAATATCGCGGGGGCTAAGCGAATCACGCGAATATCGTGATGCAGTACATACACGCCATCGCGCATATAGCCGCGGATATATCACGCGAATGCACGTTTACGCGAATAACGCTTCGGCATAATTATATGTGTGCGTGTCGCCAGCGTCGGACCGTTCACATGTCCACGACACGTGCGTGCGCGCCGTTTCACGCATTAGGCAGCGGCAATAAATACAGTCGAATGCGGGAAAAGGAATAATAAAAGATAAGCCTGTGTATCGTCAGCTGATATCGGCCGTGCATCTCCGGATGTGCTCGAATGCGCCGGCGACGAGCGCATAAACATGCGTTTGCAAAAGTGCGTTGGTGCGATTGTCGTGAATCGATATACGCTGCAAAATATACTCTTTGGATAATAAATCGTAATTACAAGAATCGCATCGTCTCTCGCACCCTCTCCACCCAAATATTTCGTAATAGCTTGATTTCGCGATGATTTTTCCTCGTGGAATACTGAAATAATTTTCCTTTGACAAGAATCTTGTAAACTTGGTGAATGGTTCTTTATCGTAACTAAAACATATTTTATTTCAAGAGGCAAATTACTCGAATAGATAACAAAATTCTCTTTTTTAGTTTTAAATGGACTCTATTTTTAACTTGTCCATTTGAAATTTTAATGATCAAGCTAGGTTTAATGTTCAAAAAACTGCGAGACGATAACATTGATCGTTTGAAATTTTGTCGAGGGAAATTATTCAACTTTTGCTCCTCGCGCATTTATCGAATTCATAATGCAAAGTATATACACATAATAACCGCGAAGAAGTAACAGCTGGGCCACGTGACGCGGTACATTTGTAGAGAATGCTACTCGGGCACGAGTGTCGGAGGATACAGGTCTTTCTTATACAGCAGGGTTGCGGGGTGCAGTTCAGACATGGGAAGTGAGCATTACTGCCTGAGGTGGAACAATCATCAGAGCAACTTGCTGGGTGTGTTCAGTCAACTGCTGGAGTCGGAGTCGCTGGTGGACGTGACACTGGCGTGCACGGAGGGACCGTCGATACGCGCACACAAAGTAGTCCTCTCCGCGTGCTCCAGCTACTTCCAGGCCCTGTTCCTCGACCATCCGAACCGTCACCCCATCGTCATCCTAAAGGACGTACGTTTCGCCGAGCTACGTACCCTCGTCGACTTCATGTACAAGGGCGAGGTAAACGTCGAGTACTGCCAGCTATCGGCCCTCCTCAAGACAGCGGAGAGCCTCAAGGTTAAGGGTCTAGCGGACATGACGAATATCAACGCAGCGGTAGCATCTAGGGAAGAGCAACAGCAGCAGCAGCAGCAACCGCAACCACAGCAGCAGCAGCAGCAGCAACAGCAACATACGAGCACCTCCGACACGTCGCGGGAGCATCATCGAGAACGAGATCGAGAGAGCATAAAGGAGACGAGCGGCAAGGATAGGGAGCGAGAATCGAACGTCACCGCCGGAGTATCGGCCGGTACCAAGGAATGCGAGCAACAGCAACAATCGAGCAACATTGCTCAGAGTACCCCAAGCGAGCCCGCGGAGGCGGTGGACATGACGGATTGTTCGCCGTCGCCCGCGGGACCCGGTAGCCCGTGCCCGGGACCGCTGGCCCTCGACCGGCCCAGGAGGGACTCGGAAGACGCGGCTAGCCTCGAGGAGACGAGGGCCGGCTCCCTCAGCCCGATCTCGGTGCACAGCGGACCATCCGACATGAGTCTCAGCAACAACACCGGCGGCGGCACGCCCGGTGGCGTGCTGCCGTTGAATCTGCCGCAGAGCCGGCTTCCGTCCCCGCACAGTACCGAACCCCTCGCCGGTCCGTCGGGCTTGCCCCCGGTCCAGCAAGTTCCGTTGGTAAGTAACGATAAGATCAGTTCTTGTAGAGGAAACTCAGAACCCTAGTCCCGGGCAAGTGCACAGAGAAAAATATCATTCTACTGCCAAGAAAAGCGATTGCGCTCAGTTTATTTTTCTTTTTTCAAGTAATAGTTTTCTTCAACAAAGAATATATTCTTGATAATAATCTTTAAATATACTCGTCACAAGTGTTGGAAAATCTCATTATCATGTACTCAAAAGAAGAATTTATTTTCTCTTCGAGAATATTGTAAAGTTGTATCGAAGAAAAATCGAACTTCCTTTACGTCAACTCTTGTAGTAAGCAAACCAAATTTTTGTTTTAATTTAATATTTTTGACTAAAATACTGCACTTAAAATTCAGAATATATTCAATTAAATTTAATGCTTGTGGTAAATTTATGATATATTTACGGATATACAAACTTATGATATACTTAAAATAAATAATATTTACTTGAATACAGTATGCATTTTTCTCTGTGTGGACTCCAGAGACAGCTGATGTATAATAATATTTTTTTTTTTCTTGATATCCAGCAGTGAATTAAAGTATAGTTTTTTTACGTACTAATCTACAATGTTATGCTTAATATATCTGCCAATTAATAATGTATATTGCTTGCCCGGTTGCGTTAATAGATTATTCAAATAACATTGATACGAATTACAAAGCTTCAAGTATAAATAAAATGTCAAATTGTCATATATTAGATTGACATATATAATTAAACTTATATTCTAAATTTGTTAAAAAAATTGACGTCAAAGATTCTAAGATACATTTATAGAAAGATGTTGATATGTCGATATAAAGCTTAAGATTCGATATTTTTTAATGTCGATTTTCTTTCACAAAGTTACAATTTAAAAAAAATATATCATGAATGTTTTCGTGCCAACATAAACTCTGTCAGTAATTCTGCGCGAGAGATTCTTGTGAGTGATCAGCTTAAAACATCGATGTATATACTGCTTGCCCGGTTGCGTTAACAGATTATTCAAATAAGATTGATACGAATTACAAAGTAAGCTTCAAGTATAAATAAAATGTCAAATTGTCATATATTAGATTGACATATACAATTAAACTTACATTCCAAATTTATTAAAAAATTGACGTCAAAGATCGATATAAAGCTTAAAATTCGATATTTTTTAATGTCGATTTTCTTTCACGAAGTTACAATTTAAAAAAAAATATATCATGAATGCTTTCGCGCCCACATAAACTCTGTCAGTAATTCCGCGAGAGAGATTCTTGTGGGTGATCAGCTTAAAACATCGATGACTTATTGCCGCAATTATTACGCAAAGGAAAACCGATGACAATTTTGACGCTATCTGTCACATTGATTTCGATATCGCGCATTTATATATTACTTGGACGTAAACCCGATGGCACTCTTTTCTGTTGCAGTCCCTGAAAAAAGAGATGGACTGGGAAAGGTCGACCGAGGAGCGTAGCGCGAGCAGCGAGATATCCGCAGACTATAGACTCCCACCAGATCCGGTGAGTCTCCCTTTTTTCCGGCGAGTCGTCTCTATATATATATATATATATATACATATTTCCAATTTATTATTGACTACTTTTTATTCTCGTATCCTCTCTTTGCTCTGCATTTCTATACATATATATATACCTATGTATACATATACTATTGATAACCGTTGTCGTCTCGCTCATCCGCAATCGTCGCCAAGAGTGGCACGTTGCGGATGAGACGACGATGTACTGCTGCGCCAAGTCCCTCCAAGTTGCAACTGCAATTACGCATTGCGATGCATTATGTATCGTATTTACGTCATTATATTATAATCAAGTCACGGCAGATCGTTCGTAACGTGAGATACTACTCGGTCAAGATGGAACGCGAATTTGACGTATGTACCGATGTCGATACGTACTCGATAAACGTATGTACTTCGCTTCAACCTTCCGAAAGTTCCGATGATAATCGCATACGCATGACACGCGCGCACGCACGCGCGTACGTGTGTGTGCGCCGAATTCACTTTGCATGTGGGTCTCTTGCATGTGCCCAAGTGCTTTGCTGTTTGCTGCTCTCCCCCGCTAATTTGATAGAATTGTCGCGTCATTAACGAAATTGCCGTCCGTGCGGTGTCTGAAGGATCGATGATCTCGCAGAATTTCTCGCTCGTTTCCATTGCGCTTGATATATAACAAATTGCTCCCGCCTACAGTGGTCAATCTGTATGATCGAGTTCTTTTAACGTCTGGACACGCGAGAGCGTTTTCAAATTTCTTTATCAGCTACGTTGGTGCTCTTGTCGTAATTTTCATTGACAAAACATTACTTCAGAAGTAATCTTGATATAACTTTTGATTACTATACTACGAAATATACAGTCACAACTTTTCGCGCGATATAACGTAAATATCGTTTTTAATTATGAAAGAGAGAGGGGGGGAGAGAGAGAAAAAGAGAGAGAGAGAGAGAGAGAGAGAAAGAGAGAGAGAGAGAGAAAGAAAGGGAGAGAGAGAGAGAGAGAGAGAGAAAGAAAAGTAAGAAAGAAGAATAGTAAAGATATTCATAGTTATATCGCGGCAGAGATTTTGACATGTAGAGAAATTTAACGATTTTACATAAAGACTGTTGTACATTCGTGAAAAGTTACGTCAAACTTTTTTTGAAGTTTTTCTTTACAAAGGTCGAAGTTAAGCTAGTTGATTTACATTTGAGATATCATAAAAATGAACATGAGGACAATTTTTCACGTACATTTCCTGATTATTAATATCGCTCAAAAAGATTTCATTCCCAGAAACTTATTTGTGATATTTAGCCTTCTTCGGTATATCGACTTTGAATTCGTACGTCATACTCGATACGAGTTTGAGAAGTCATTTTTATCTAGACATAATAAATGCAAGTAAACATGCACACACATGCTCATCTACTGTGGCAAATATATCTCTTTTTTTCCAAATTATTTTACTATCTCTTACATTCCTTGTGCATATCCCATTATCTTTTCAACGTACAGACACATACACATTCTGTGCGTCTCTCTCTCTCTTTCTCTCTCTCTCTCTCTGTTTCTCTCTCTATCTGTCTATCTTTCTCTCTCATTTCTATTTAATTATTAATTTTACAGTTTTTACTCTCTGCCGTTTATCTATTTTACTTTATCCATTGTTCCAAATTACAGACGTACGAATGTTATTAGATCAAAATAGATTATTCTAATTTATTAGTTTAATCACTAAATCGGATAATTTACTAGAACTAGATAATCGAAACAGGCATGAAATATATTGAAAAAAATTAATTGAAAATTAATAGGAAATGAAGATTGAACGTCTTTAATTAACTAAATTAATATGAAACTTGTACGTTTAATTTAGACGCAATATTTCGCACGTCTGTATCACTTCCCCTTTTGCTCCTTTTGCGCAGCATTTTTCTTGCTATGCGTGCAGCTCGCGAGCCAAGCGTACATCAGCTGATCGTACAAACTCGATCCTTTCCATCCGTGAATTCCATCTCCACGTGCTTTAAGGGAAAAACTGAAAAAAAAGAGTGCGCTCAAAATCTATCATTCGAGAAAGACGAAAAAATTGACAAGCGAAAGAAAAAAAAAAGCCAAACATCCTTTCCCGTCCTGCCAGCCTGTCTTGCTAGCTCACTGTCAAGAAGTTGACCTTCGTTTTTGGCCATGGTTGTTTTTTACTACATTTATATATATATACATAAATATATATACATATATATATACACATACGTTATGTACATCGCATATCGTTTATACACACTGTGGTATAAATATCTATATATATTTACATATATATTTTTTGCAAAATATATATACTTATATATATACATATATACATATATATATATATATATATATATATATATATATATATAGGCAAATATTATTGACATATTCATTATACCATTTGTTACTTTGTAATATCTGTATTTCGATTTGTCGTTTTGGTTGAGTGCAATGCCTTTTGCTACGACGAATAAATTATGCGGCGTGGCTGCAAGTATAAGTATAATAAAAGGGAGGAGGGACGAGAGGGGCGGGTTAAGAACGAGGCTGTGGGGATATATATATTGTTATGGGTCCGTATAGATATATATATCTGTTGTTACTTATATATATTTATACATACATACACACACACATACACACACAAATACACACACACATACATATATATTTATCTCTCTCTATATATATATATATGTATGTATATACATGTATACAAATAGTAATTATCACCGCTTGTTTTATTTATGGATTTCTTGACCATTTTCGATCTTTTTTTAAAATAAATTTGATATTTTCGTTTAGTTTTTGACATTATTAATATCTTAAATATCATCAATATTACATATTTTTGTACAAGTGAAGTTTCCACAGTAAGATTTCGCGAATCAAAGTTTATTTCTGAAATTTATTTTCAAAGACACACACACACACACACACACACACACACACACACACACACACACACACACACATACATACACGTAAATACATGGCTAAAAATTTTGATTTCTACTTATATATAAATCAGCAGCTATATAAAAATAATTTCTCCATCTATACATTTTTTTATAGTTACAACATTTTTATTGACATTTTCAAATTGGTCAAAAAATTCATAACTGAGAAGTGGTAGAAGCTTGGGAACATGCTGTATACATATATACATCGTAACACACTCAAATAGTTTGTCATACATGTGCCTGGGGTGCGCGACGCGCCAAACAAAAATGAGCGTCAACTTCTTGTGAATACCGTCTTGTGTGCTGCCGAGAAGCGTCAACTTCTCGCCACGCTGGAGACACTTTCTCCTCCGAACGAATGAAATTTATAAATTAGAAACGAAAGAAAACTGAAAGTCAAAATAGATAGATAGATAGATAAAAATAGAGAATGAGAGAGAATAGAGAGAAAGAGAGAGAGAGAAAGAGAGAGAGAGAGAGAAAGAGAGAAAGAAAACCTTGTTTAGTCGTAACACGTGCTTATAGTAGTGTCGAGAGAACGAGCTTGCCTGTCCTTTTTTTATTTTTATTTACCGAAAAACTTAGATGCATTAGAAAGAATTAGTTATCATAGAGAAAGAGAATGCGAGAGAGAGAGAGAGAGAGAGAGAGAGGGAGGGCGGGAGGAAAAAAGAAGGAAGAGAGGAAGGAGGGAAGGAAGAAAAAGCGAAAGGAGGGAGGTGGAAAGACACGTTATCTTTTTCTTATCCGTTTAAAGTAGCCACAGCGCTCATGCATTTTAGAAATGACGCGCTGCGGCATATATACGTATACATACATATATCTATATAATATGTATATATACATATATGTAAATAAATATATCTATGTATTCTGCGGATCGAGTAGTACCTGGGCGAACGATTTGTCACGCGTTATTGCAGTATGTAGCACAATTAATATTAAAATATGCCGTTAGGATATTTAACATACGGGACTAGGCCAAAGAGAAATGCCAAAGAGAGAGAAAAATAGAGCAGCAATTGAAAATAGATAAAAATAAAGAGAGAAAGAGAGAGAGTGAGAGAGAGAGAGAGAGAGAGCGAGAGAGAGATAGAGAGAGAGAGAGAGAAAAAAAGATAGACAAAAGAGAGAAAGAGTCGGAGACGAGTCTTTCCCGCGGGGGTAACAGAGCGCCGGAGGGAAGACAAGAAGTTGATGTTCTTGTTTGTTTGGTTGCAGGAGTTGATGGGTGTGGATGAGCGGGTGTTTGCGTGCATGTACTGCGGTGCCTCGTTCCTCCACCAGAGCAAGCTGACGCGGCACATCCTCTCGCACAGCCTCGAGTCGCTCAAGTACCGCGAGCAGGCGGCCCACCTGCAGCTGCAGGCACAGCTGGGCCTCGAGCCCGGCATGCACCTGCCGCCTGAGGCCCACTATCCCGCCGCGGGTACGATCGAGCCGATGGACTTTGAACTCGCGGCCCACTCGGACCCGACCTCCGGCGTCGTCCTCTGCAAGTTTTGCGGCAAGTCCTTCCCGGACGTTGGCTCGCTGATCGCCCACCTACCGGCGCACACCGGCGATCGGCCGTTCAAATGCGAGTTCTGCGGCAAGGCGTTCAAGCTGCGCCATCACATGAAGGACCACTGTCGTGTGCACACCGGCGAGCGGCCGTTCCGGTGTACGCTGTGCGGCAAGACCTTTTCGAGGTCGACGATACTCAAGGCCCACGAAAAGACACATTACCCGAAATATGTGCGCAAGTTCCTGTCCCCGAGCCCCGTGGACCCCTCCGAGGAAGAGGCCCCGCCGCCGCCACCGCCGCATCATTGAGTTCGCCTTAGTATCAGCAGCAAAGACCGCCGTTGCGCCGTCGTCGTCGCCGGCGACGACGACGACGACGACGACGGCGGCGACGACGACGACGACGATCACCGTACGGGACACCCCGTTGACCGACGACGCCTTCGCGTTGTCGTCGTCGCCGATCGCGCGAACGCCGCCACGACGACGACGTCGACGCCGACGGTGTCGTTCCCGCTTCCGGTACCGCCGCCGCTGCCGCCGCAACGCGTCCCTCCGACGTCATTCTGCACGTTTCGTCCCGCTCCCGCCCGACACGTTTCCCGATTCTTTCCCGACACCACTCATCTCCTCTCGTCCACCTGATCGCGCGCGTCACGATCCGCACGCATCGCACCCACCGCGGGCCGCGCGACGCGCGACTCCCCGCGTCGTCGTCACCCACAATCGGCCCCAACGATCGAGCGACGGGGCAAGAAGCCGGCGGTGTGTTTCTAGTTAGTCCTGTGATTTTGGTTAGGATGGTTGGTAAACGCGTGTTCAGGGGGAGGGACACGTTAATAACGAGCTCCCTCGTTTAATCAGTGCTTTAAGACGAAACGTTTAGCTTATTATATACATATAAATATATAAATATATATAGATATATATATTATAAATTATACGTATATATATATCGATAAATTATTGAAGGTATATATATACATATATATATACATATATACATACACGTACACACACATACACACACACACACACACAAATGAGCGAGATGTGGTTCGTTAAAAGAGAAGAAGGGAGAGGGACAAAGTGAACGGGGACGACAAGAATAAACGGGGAGTGGACGAGGAAGGGGGAAGAAGGGAATTTGAGCCGCCACGGTTGGTGCTTTTAAGAGATTTTGATAAAATGCTGTGAATATTATATTGATTACGATTAACTATAAACTATTGTAATAATGTACTAACGTTGTACGATGTACGATGCGACTGTTGTTGATACGATTGAGAATATTTTATACAGTTGACACGGGGGGGGGTTGGGAATGTTGAGAACGCGCGTGGGAGGGTGGGGACGGGGGAGGGAAGAGGGGTAAGCAGGGAACGTCCACTTAGCGAAATTCTACGCGGTGCAATTCGATTCGGTGTGGACAGTTTATAAATTTATAATAGGAAAAAAATTCGGAAGAGGAAAAGGAGAGAGAGAGAGAGAGAGAGAAAATCTGTTACGAGTGCGCTGGCATTAGCGGCTTCTTCGATTGACGTTCCTCATTTTTTTTCCCCCAAGGTCTCGACATCATTTTCCCTCGCGCTTTCGTCGTCGCGAGTCGACGAATCGTGGACGCGTTTGACGTACGAGCGATGCACATCGCGCATAAAATCGATCAATTTCGTCTCCCGTCTCTCATGCATCGATCCGACGAATCCGTGAAACGCACTCTCCGGAGGTTTTTCGTCCCCTAGCGATCCCTTAAGCACGCTTATAGAACGTTGCAAAGGGGTTCGAGAAAAAAAAAATCGAGCACGTAATTCCCGCAGATACCGCCAAGCTTTCTCGGATACGTTTCCGCAACTTTTCCACAGACAAATTAAGAGTTGCAACGAATACGCGATGATGCGGTGGCCATTGAGACAGTGCAATACCTGATTACGCGACACACCATTCTATGTTACTTTTTTTATTCATATATAGTCTAATTCTTATTTAACATTCTTTAGTAAGATAGTTAGATAGTGTAATTACGTTGAGACTCGGTTTCCGTGTGATACCGTCTTTTATTCCATACTCGGGAATTCATCTTTATTTATTTATAATCCTCGAAAAAGTCACTCGGACGTACGGGACGTGGAGAAGACGTCAAGTTCCCACGTGGATTACATTTACACAGTTATGATTCAAACCGCTCAATAGCGAACGGAATATCGATCATTAATTAAGGCAGATTAATGCCTCAAACTCAAATAATGAATCAAATGTGGCGTCGTGTATCCGCGACAAAGACAGGATGTTTGAAATAATAGATGTGTTTTCCGTACATTCCTGGTAACATCATCGAAATAATCTTTGAATATTTTCATAGTATTTTGAAATTTTAGTGAGAAATATTTTGACAGTCGAAGCAAAATTCTTTCAATCATTAATTCGAAGGAATCTCTTATTCTAATCATTTATAGATTAAAATATAGTACAATAGAAAATTGACAAACACTTTCTTTAAAGGAAAAATTATTTAGATTCTATCAAATCTCATCTCGCATGTCTGTTATATGCATACATCCTGCGTATTTTTCGCGATGGTCCCAACGTTCGAGTGATACGAGTACCAGTATTCGAGATATATACTTTTGTTTTCCTATTAGGTAAGGTAAAGTAATTAGCACGTACGAATGTGTAAGCAGACTAGCGGCTCTTTTTCGAAAACTATCATCGTCAACAGCCGATCGGTCCGACTTTTCAAAGGCGAAGGTACAAACGTAATTCCCACTTGATTTCCTCGCAGGGGGGAGTAATTGAATTCGGCGCGACACGCGAGGACGAAAAACAGGCGCGCGTCTTCGCGGATCCTCGAAAGCGATAAACATGCTATCGCGGTCGCAGGCGGTTACATGCGAACGCAAGACGAGCTCTTTTCCCGTCTCTTCCTTTTAAGCGATTCGATGAGCGCATTGTATATTTAGCAGCCACTTACTTTCCGTCGTTCTCCTCGCAAGGGCCTCCCCCTCCCGCCGAGCGAGCCGAGTCGCTCCAAGTCGATCGATCTCTGAAATATTCATCGCATTCCGTGCGCGGAGGCCTGCAAAACGGCATCGAGAAGGAATCGCCTCGCGAAGAATGGGGAGATATCGAATAGCCGATGCGAGCCAATTTCGATCCGAGCTCGTCGCGAATAGATAATTCCTTAAAAGTTGACCCTAGAATGCTAACTGTCGTTTTTTTCAAGAACGTATCTCAGAGAAACATTATTTGAAAGATTGTTTCGGAAATAAATTTCGCATATCAGAAGGCATTGTTTTTGGAATAATAACCTCATTTTAATAGCGTAATCTCTCTTCAATCATAATATTTCGGGATACACGAAAGAATGATTACAGCACACATTTATAATGCACTTTGATGACATGCATTTTACTTAGTATTCTAGGGTTAGTAGACCATGGTAGCTGAGTGATTTTACTTAGAGTTGTGATGATTATACGAATTATTCTTCAATTACTCAAATTCTTATCGTGCGTTCTTTTCAGCCGATTCGCGAGTATCAATCGTTTCTCTTTTCGTTTGGAAGAAAGTCGACGCGTCTACGTCTCGATCGATGATCGTGGCTCCTGTGCGACTTCTGTGATATTTCACGAACCACTTTATTAACACGCAATGCACTTGTCACGTATCGTCTTACATTCCATCGCTATCTTAGTTGTAATCGCGGCGATATAAAATGCTCCGTTTTTCGCGGCGTTCGATTCGAGAACGCGAGTGTGTGATTTTAATTGTGATCTCTCGAGCGGCGTTAAACTTAATGCAACACTCGGTCCCGTTCGATTCCGAGTTATTAGAAATTGTTTAGGAAAACATTTGCGCATTTTACTTTTGGAACTGCGCTTGCTTCGCTTAATTAAATCCTTTAAACGCACAGCACGATACTCGCTTGGGAGACGTAGACGCGCGCGAATCGAAGATTATTATTCGAGATAAAATGGAATACTGATCGTCGTGAGAGAAATTTTATTTCATTGTAAAAATGATATAAATCTTTGACTTTTCATTTGAAATCGAATAGAAGCGAGTAGAAGCGTGATTTATTTTATTCCACCCGTGTAAAAAGAGAAAGGTATAACGTTCAAAGTATTGCGCGCGGATCAATCCAATTCGACGGACAGAAGGACGAGAATTTCGTTCTACCATGCGAACCGCCGATCCCGATTCATGTAGCTTTAATTAGAGTATTCGTCCGACAAATCGGTATTCCTCTGAAAACGGGATTTTAATTAATATTTACGCGTGACGGTGCTGTTAATGACTGGCGGCCGTGAGGGTACATTGAAATGAGAGTTCTGTCGCGATTTCTGAGCGAGTCTGATTAGAGAGTTGGCGTTTGGCAAATGGATCATAAAGTTTCCAAATACCGTATCAAAAATGTTGTCAGCGGCTTATAAATTCCGGAATACGATTAATTAAATTTGCGCGGCGTTACACCAGCGGACGCGTCCGTCCGTCCATCCGTCCGCGCGGTATTAAAATAATGATATCGCAAATTAAATATTCGACTCTTCCTCTTGTTCATTAAATTCTATAACCGAAACTCAAACACCGTTTTTATCGCCGCACGCGATTCTTCGAGCCTAGGCATTATTCTACGTTCGTGAATCTACTCATTAATTTAATCGTCTAATTCGTAATATAAATTGAATCTAGAGAAAAATAGAGAAAACATTTTTGCTTACAAAATATTATCGAGCGATAGGTGAAAGATCAGAATTATTCGAATCAATAAATTCTCACGTTAAACGAGGAAAAATGTGAAAATTTTATTTAGCGGAAACAAAAAAAAACGTGTCGCACGCGCGGCAGAAATTAAAGGACAGATCGATATTTCGAATTTAGAGTATATCCGCGTTATTCCTTAAAAACGATTGCTGATCATTCGAATACGCTCATCCTCATTTTTGCTTTCTATTCGCGCTATCTTGATTCTCTCGTCGGCAATAATATGTAAAATATTAGTTCGCGATAATATACCGTCGCCAATTCGCATATAATCGTCGCGGGGACATAGTAGTGCAAAAAGAAGGAAAGGTGAGAGGAAAAACTAGTATATGAATCACAGCTGCTTGAAATTCATATCGCGGTTTGGTCGCGATTCTTCGCGAGTTTATATACGCGCTAATTTTCCGCGTAATCGCGCGAAGCTACGCACTTTTTTATCGTCCCGATCGTGGTAAACAGCCGAGGAGTTTTTTTCCACCAAGACTTATCGTCGACGACGACTCTTTCCGCGTCACGTCTGTTATCCGCTCGAGTCGGTCGAATCGATCGACAAGGAAAACGCTGATGCCAATCGGAGGATTCCGCGCCGGGTATAACCTTGTAATCGTAAAAATATAATGAACGCGGAGAACTGCATAATGTGCGTCGAATACCGCCCTGCGTTATCGCGTCATTTACGAACGCGTAATATATATGTGCCGCGCGCGCGCGCATCATGACGGATAAATCATAAATTGGGCAGTGACGCTCAAACGGCACTTGTGTATTGTTCGCGCGCTCTTTTTGCTCGTCCTCGCGTTTAAAATGAAATCCAAAGAACAGGTTGAAGGGGAAAAATGTCGAAATCGTACTTGCGAGGACTCGCTCCTTTTGCCTCGATACAAGGAAAATCATTAGGCACCCACGTGCGTGATTCTATTCTCATTCGCGAAACGAACAACGATAGAGGACGATCGAGCGGAAATTCGGGCGCGACCTACTTCGCGATCTTTGGAACAGCACTTTGGCGTCGGACTTGATGATTGCGTTCTTCGTGTCGGATAGAATCGGGCTGCCGCGCCGCCTCACCTCGCCCCTCGCCTCGCCTCGTCCGTTCTCGTGATGTTAGTCTAGCTCGCG